GACATTTCAGGCCTTGAACCTTTCCAGAGTTTTCTTTACAGAATTTTCCACTTCAGAGGACTTCAGAGAAGTCTGTAGCTTGAAGTCCAGAAAGCTGCCCAATGCATTCAAAATGGGAAAATAACAATCAATCACCACTGTCCTTTATGGCCATTTTTGTTGAATTTCAATTGTGGACCAATTTGTAGGACCCAATTTGTTACTCTTCCTGTTTTTGTGTGTGTGCAAGCCTCCATCACATTGTCCTTTCCCATTTGCACGAATCCTACATCTTCAAATTCAGAAAATCTTCACCCATTTTACAACTCACTTTAGTCTATAACCATGTTCTTCAGCAATTGTCTATGACATGGCATCTCAGATAAGCTGAGCCACTCCCCATCTGTGCACTCCCATTGTGTGTTACTTCATGGCCTCAAAGTTCACCATTTCCTGAGTTTTGACACTGAATGACATTATAGGTAGTTCACATCATATATTTGGTTTACAAATTCATCTGTTGATGAATGTTTGGTTTGAGTAGCCATGAGGGTAGAAATGCCTGCTCAAATGCAAATTCTTCATGAATTTGAGTATCTTATTAAAAATGGATAATCTGTTTTATGGTGATTGTATATTGCATTGTTGAAGCATGAAGCAAGCAACACCATCTTTCATCGCAGTTGAACCATTTTATGAAGCCATGAAATGAGTACCTGAACTTTCTTTATCTCTATTAGTTTTGATTTGCAATGATTTATTTTTTATTATTATCTTTAAGTAGTTGCAGAAGGAAAGTGTCATTTAATAAACAAGCATAGGAAATACAATGTACCTTGGTCTGTGTCAACCCCTTGGACCCACAACTTCCCACCCAGTTCTTAAATTTGTGGTATCTGCTATTCATTCTTCACTGCATTCTTACCTTTTCCCACTTTCATCTCTAACCCGCTCTCCTTGTCCCAACCCCCTATTACTAAGGTGAATTTTCACTTAATCTTTCTAAAAAAGTCGCACTTTTTGAACTCTCCATAGCATCATTTATAAATCAGTTAATTCACTTGGAGCTACTTACATACCTCCTAATGTGTGTATACTAAGTTTCAATGAGGTTAAAACATGTCCTGAATAACCAGATAATTTTGATTCAAATTCACAAAGCAATGTCATATCATACCACCTAGATTCTCTAGACCTTACAAATAGTTTGTCTCTATTAACAACCTGATTTAATTTCATAGAAACCTAAATTATATTGTGGCTGAGTATTCTCTACCACACCACTTGAACCACACCCTAGGCATTTTGAACCCCTTGGCATTTTGATTTTAATTTTCTTTTTGAAGAATGGGGTCTTACAAATATCATCTAGCTGGTTGACAGTCGATTAACCTATTTACATTTCCCATGGGTCTGAGATGACAAGGACATGCCATCCTTACGAACTTGTGTTGTTGGCATGGGGGCTTTCTATCTCATGAAATCATTCAAATAGAGGTGGGGGCGGGGATGTGAAGGGATGCGAAGAGGAAACAAAGGAGGAGGCAACAATGCTCGTTAAGAAATGTACTCATTACCTTGTCCATATAATTGTAACTCCTCTGTATGGTATTTTCACAATTAAAAAAAAGAAGAAGAAAATTATGTCACTTGTAGCAAAATAGATGGAGTTGGAAATCACCAAGATAATAAAATTAGCTAGACTGAGAAAAAAATAGAGGCATGGTGGCATCTCACTGAGAAGTTAATTTGTAATTCTGTAATGGGGTTTAACATCTTTGCACCTACATATGATCTCACTCTATATTCCCCACCAATGTTACCTCATTTCAATTCTCCTCATTTTAGTCTCTAATTGCTCTGTGGACACCTTGCCCAGATTTTGTTGGTTGGCATGGGGTCTTACTATCTCTGGAATTATTTGAGGTCTGACCAGAAATCGTGATTCTCTCAGCCTCTGCCTTCCTCATTTAAGGATGAATGGTGTGAGTTAATTACAATGTCCAGGAATCCCGTGTGGTGCAAGGGTCTTTCGAGACCTTTGGTACAGCTGAAACTTACTTTTGGAATGTATTGCTCTAGTTCATTTCTTAATAGTGCAAAATGTAAAATATCATTGAATAATACCCTTTGATTGTTACTGAAGATCATTATGCTCCCTATTAAAATTATTTCCTCTTCCAATAAAATAAAAAAGAAAAATTAACTTGAAAGAAAAATAATGATTTTAAATTTTTCTATCATTATATGTTGTCTGAAATGGAAATAGGCATTACCAAATATATATACTGACTACTAATGTAAAATATGCAATTTAATTATTAAATGGAATTATCCATTTCTTGGTAAAATATCATGTTGAATTTCCATTGTAAAAATGTGTACTAAGCTGGGGGCTGGTGGTGCACCTCTGTAATGCTAGAGACTCTGGAAGCTGAGATCTGAAGATCACAGTTGAACGCCAGTCCAGCAGGTAAGTCTGTGAGACTATTATTTACAATAAACTGCACAAAACCTGGAAGTGATGCTGTGCCTCAAAGTGTTAGAACACTAACCTTGAAACAAAGAGCTCAGGGATAGTGCTTAGGCTTTGAGTTCAGGCATTATAACTGGCAAAACAAAACAAAACAAGAACCTTGTAAAAAGCTGTAATAAGCATTTTCTTGCTCATTTTTCATCAAAGCCAAAAATTAGAGGGTATTGTCACTTCTGATTAAACTTCACTAGAACCAAGATTTCATATATTTTCATAATATTACTATTCTATAAATTTCATATATTTTCATAATATTACTACTCTATAAATTGGTAGCAAACATGTACCTGAAGAGCTGGGAAGGTTGCTCAGTGGTACAGTGCTTGCCTCGCATGCATGAGGCCCTGGTTCGAGTCCTCAGTACCACATAAACAGAAAAAAACAGAAGTAATGCTGTGACTCAAGTGGTAGAGTGATAGTCTTGAGCTGAACAGCTGAGGGACAGTGCCCAGGCCCAGAGTTCAAGCCCCATAACCACCCACCCCCACTACCACCAAAATATATCTTAATATATTAGGATTCTAAATTTGTGTGTATGTGAGAGGGGGGAGGTAGAGAGAGAGGGGGGAGGTAGAGAGAGAGAGAGAGCGGAGAGAGAGAGCACTCGCACATGTTTCTGAAGACTAAGCCAAGGGCCTTGTTCATACTATGTCCACTCTCTACATTCCAGATAAATAAATACAGGTCATCATTATATCAATTTTGTAAAGTTTCATGAGTATTACACTACTTGAAAGAATTTTGTACTTTAACAGATAAGTTCAGGATTTTAAACTTGTGATCTGGTATTGTGTACCAAGTCAACATTATGAGAATAAATGGTTTCTCTACCTACAGGTGTTTTTTAATCTAATATTTGACCTGACTTTGTATTATTTACATCAAATGCACACATGATTTATTAAAAATATTTTCAGGGAAGTGGCACTGTAGCTCAAGTGGTAGAGTGCTAGCCTTGAGCTGAAGAGCTGAGGGACAGTGCCCAGGCGCAGAGTTCAAGCCCCCCCCAACAAATTATATATATATATATATATATATATATATATATATATATTCAGCCTATCCTAAAATGGAAAGAAAATTGACTATACTCAATATTTTCCATTCATCAGTGAAAAATAAAGTTAAAAATGCAAGAGAATCTTGTATTATTTATTACTGACAATATAATTTTCATATACTGTAATCACTGAATACAAAAAGTTCAAAATACAAGCCATGGAAAATACAACATCTAATAATTTTCTTTGTGCATTATAAAATGATAATTTTAAGGGTAATTCTGTGTATCCATATGAATCTTGTATAAAAACAAAACCTTTAGAGAAAGGGTTTACTATAGCAGTGTTTGCTTCTCTTTAAACCCAATAATAAAGGACAATTGGAATTTTGATTGACAAAGATTCATTTATTGTTTTCTTATCATCAGATTACAAACAGTATATCATGCAATGCTTGACTTGAAAAATATTTCTACAATTTTTTTCTCTATGGTCTCAGAACAAAGGCTGAATACTGTATACTTAATTTTTAAAATTTATATTTGTAAAATCTATTAATTTTCTAAGCTTCTTCCTAAGGGTCAGAGTTCTGTCCTCATTGAAACTTGAATGTGCTGACTATATAAACAGTTAAATATATGAAGAGTCTAACAGTATATTAAAACATATCACAAGTTTCTTACATTTCTTACATTATCAGATATCACCAAATTTGAATGCTATAACAAAAAGATTTCCTGTAGTTCAGCACTATGAATCTAAGCTCAAACTAATGATAAAATAAATCATGCAGTTTTGATACAGAGATTAGTATTTTCCAGTAGATATGATCAGGAGAAACTAAATTTATTGGAAATATGTTATATAAAGAAATAAATGGAGAGATCTACATCATATTTAAGGATATTTACAGGTTTGAATGAATGTGATCATTAAACCTGCCTTTCTTAACAGTCAGGTGTGTGGAAGAAGCTTTGATAGATAAAATAGCTTTGCCAGAAATAAAGTCTGAGGGAAACTTACACACATAACAGGACAGAGAAGCTACTATTTTAAAGCCAGAAACACATAGAAAGAGAAAAAGTCCAATTAGATTATATATGAACAAAGAAGTATAAGAAGAATAGGCAAGTATATACCTTTTGTTGTTATTTTTTTTGTCAGTCATGGGGCCTAAAGTCTGAACCTAGACGCTGTCCCTCAGCTCTTTAGTTTAAGGCTAGCGCTCTACCACTTGAGCCACAGTGCCACTTCCATTTTTTTTCTTATGTGGTGTTGAGGAATCGAACCCAGGGCCTCAAGCATGCAAGACAAGCACTCTACCACTGAGCCACCTTCCCAGCCCCAAATATATACATTTGAAATTGCATATTTGGGAAGAGATTCGGAGGAAGAAGTATTATTGGTACAAACTTTTCTGAATTAATCTTGCCTCATCATGAGGCATTGTATCAAAACATTTAGAGACAGTAACATTTATATTCTCATTTAGTCATGATTTTAACACTCCATAACTTTCTCATGGCATTTTTCACTTCTGCATTCCTCAGTGTGTAAATCAGTGGGTTGAGAAAGGGTGTTCCAATGGTATAAAACACTGCCACCATCTTATCCACAGGGAAAGTAGTAGGAGGACGTGTATACATGAATATACATGGAACAAAAAATATTATAACTACAATAATGTGAGATGTGCAAGTGGAGAGAGCTTTCTTCCTCCCTTCTGCACTATGATTTCGCAGTGAATGCAAGATGACAACATATGAGATCAACAAAATCAAGAAACTGGTTGAACAAATTACCCCACTGTTGGACACCAACAGCAGGTTGACCATGTAAGTGTCCATGCAAGCAAGTTTCAACAAAGGCTGCAAATCGCAGCAATAATGGTCAATTAAATTGGGCCCACAGAAGGGCAATTTTAAGAGCAAGACAATCTGGGCAGTGGCATGTATAAAAGACCCAATCCAGGCAAACACAATCAAGATGACACAGACCTGTCTTCTCATGATGGTTGGGTAGCGCAAGGGCTTACAGATGGCTATATAGCGATCAGCAGCCATGAGGATGAGGACAAAGATCTCCATGCAACCAAATATATGCAGCGCAAAGACTTGGGTCATACACTCATTATAGGAAATGAGTTTTTTGGTAGAGAGGGAATCCACAATGAGTCTGGGGGCTATGGATGTGGAAAAACAGAAATCAGCCATGGACAAATAAAACAGGAAGAAGTACATGGGGCTGCCGAGTGTCCTGCTGAACTTGATGGTCACGATTATGAGCATATTCCCCACAAAAGTACCTCCATAGAAAATTAAGAAGATGAAAAACACCAGTTTTTGTTTTTGGGGATCTGGTGTCAACCCTAACAATATGAACATCGTCACATTGCCGTTAGTAGGCATTCTTTCAGTTGATGTGGGGGAAATCGCAGCTTAAAAAAATATCTGAAAAGGAGCAAAAAAAATTACTGAATTTGGGCAATTGAATCTTTGTTGAAAGTCATAAAATTAACTTATTAGTGGGTTGTTACTTATCACATTTTTATTTTTCCCCAAATCGTCAATTTAATATCATGCAATACAATGTGTGCAGTAACGAAAGAGCAAATGGTTCGTTCACAAGTTGGTTTCTTAGGAATCAATACATGCCTTTTTTGGGTTAGTTTTAAGCAAGAATGCATTAACAGTAGTATAGCATTTTGAATATATTGAGAACACTTTCCCAATTCAATTTAGTATGCTTTGAAGGTATTTGAAATTGGCAGTTTTGCTACTAGCAACGTGTGAAGTACATATTCTAATAATGTAGGTAGCATAATTTGGTAAACCTTAGAAATTACTGTCTTTAATAGAATCTAGGTGTGCACTGTCAGACTTGTGGACACATAGACAGTGAAAAACATGTGGTAAAGGAATTGTGAATATAGCATTACAGAAATGAAGACTAACTTAGTTAGTCCTATCCAGAATTAGAATTAATGTAAACTCTTGTCATGTCTGAATGTGTATCCCTTAGAATGTTTGATAAGAAGTGTACTCATTACTTTGCTCATGTAATTGTAACCCCTCTGTATGGTATTTTCACAATAAAAACATCAATCTACTGAAAAAAAGAATTCTCTATGCAATGATAAATCATACATGAATCCAGGATGAGACCAAAGAGGATATTCATAGGAACAGATCACAAAGACTCAATATCTAGGTGCATTTGATCTTACAAAGTAACATTTTGCAAAATGACCTCCAAGAAATAGAAACAAGAGATTTTTGTTGTTTGTGTTGCTATATGGGAGGGTAAGTAGAGGCACAGAAATGGAACAAAGGGTGAGCAAATGTAGCAGTGGTACTCACTAAATGCTATGTTGAAAACGAATTATGCAACTTGCGGTTTGGGATAGGAGGGAAAAACTGGGAGAGAGCAAGAGAAGTAGTGACACTCTCCAAAAAGAAATGCACCTATTACCTGATTTCTGTAACAGTAATCCCTCTGTGCTTTACCTTTCCAGTAACACAAAAATGCATTCATTTAAAAAATGCCTGTGTTGTATATTTTCCACAGTTTCCCTCTGATTCTGTGCCCTCTCCTAAAACAGGGAGGCACATCAGCTGCTCTGGACATAGATGAAAATGAACAAAGCAAATCAAGGGCAGCAATGGTAGGAGGGAATGAGAAGAAAGAGGGAACAGCTTACAGCAAGCAAAAGGAAAAAAATGTACATGTCACCTGATGTGGAAGAAATAGTTGTATTGTTAATGCTCGTAGAATTCACAAACTTTATAGACCATGATAATGACAATTTGCTGAGTGAAGTTTAAAATGTGTTTGTGACTTTAAGTACAACTATCCCATAAGACTGTGAAATTTGTGAAATTTATGTAATCACTTAATCTCAATAAAAATTCCTTTAAAAATTGCCTGTCCATTTGACGTTATATATCCTTCAACAAGTTTTCATAAAAAACATAGTACACAGGGACTTTTAAAAGACTATAAAATATTTTACCATAATATAAATTCATTTTCTATTTCAATTACATATAGAATCATATATTAATTATACTTATATAAATATTTAATAAATATATTTATATGCAAATATTTATTAAAATTTTAAAACATATCAATATTTATAATATCTACTTATATATTTTGCATATTCAAATACATTTGAAATATATTTATTCTAACATAATAACAAATATAGAGATACCAAAATGCGCATGTCAAACTGACACAGTATGTTTAGAAAAACATACTGCACACAAAGCATTATTTCTTGAAACACAAATATTTCACAGGTAACCTAAATACTAGCCAAAATAATGAACAAACATTTGATTCTTTCACTAGGATCTTTGTCTTCATGAAAAATGTATCACCTTAGATATTTATGCAAAGTTGCTTGATTTCATTTACAGTTACATTATGATTAATATGTGAGTTGCAATGTGGCTCAAAGTAGTAGCCTTTGAGCAAAAGATCTCTGGGACAGCACCAAGGCTCTGTGTTCAAGCCCGATGACAGACCAAAATATTAAAAAAATAATAAATTAACATTTGAGGTGCCTATGTTTTGCATCTTTGATATTTGTGGTCCATAATTTCTGGTAAATATCTTTAAACAAATTCATTGAGAAATTTGAGAGAATCTCAGTTACCCATGTTTAGATGGGTGCTCAGGTGCCTACAGTCCCTAAGGGAGTGATTGTAAAAGACACAGTAACAACTGACTGAAAACACTGGTTGAGGAATTGAATGTCTCATGGATGTGGCCATGACAGACCCTAAAATCATTGCTACAACCCTTTCAATGGTGGCAAAAGGGAGGAAGGATTTCAACTTCCATGACAACAAAATAAATAAAATAAAATATAAAACTGATATATAGTTTTGAAAATATTCATATGCAATAGTGTATCAAATAAGTTCCATGCAATTATCTCTAAATGCATTTAGAAATTGAAATTTAAGATTTCAATTCTATGTATTCAAGATGATTTTAACTAAAAATGAGGTATGTGGTTAATACTTATACACACATAATACACATAATGTGGTTTATACTTAACAGCCATAATTTTAATATGTTAATACCCTTTCAAGGGGAATTAAAAAGCATAATACTTATAGTATCTGGGAGGGCAAGCTGCCTTCTTGGACTTCCATATTGAAGATCTTTTTGCTTTAAAATTGTTCAATTTGTAAAGACTTGAAGGTGTGTTATACTAAATTAAAAAGAATGTTTTAAAATGCCTTACCTTAGAAGACTGGGACTCACATTGTCCTATCACTGAGACATCCAACTCTCATCAGTGTAGACAGGTAGTATACAGGCAGTCAGGCCATTATTTCAGATCCAGAAGCTTGAATAAGACTGTGAGTAAATTTTAAATACAGAATTCACGATCAGCAGCTACGGGTATGATGGCGTGAATATTGAATATTTTCAAAATGAATATTTTTGGCATACAAATATCAATCTATGTGCTATGAATAAGTAATATAAAAATAATCTGTTTCTGTCTCTACACGTATTTATAAATGGATATTACTAAGGACAGGTACATACAAGCAGATAAAAATCCTGACATGTTTGTATAGAACTAGTCATTATTTTTACTAAGTATTAATATAAAGCAACATCACAGTATTAAGGGATTGCTAATCGATTCAGATCAATTATTTCCCATACTATCGTGGATCTAGCTGGCATTGAAGAAGAGGGCTGTCTAAATCCTCCTCTATTCGTGGCAATAGCACATTGTTGAAGAGCAGTTCCTGGACAACCCCAAAGTGGCATTAGTTCTATGTAATTAACATTAAATGATCATCTCCAACAGAGCTTACCTTGTAGTCGTTACCATCAGGAACTACCTGAACATATTTGATTGTCATCTTTTCATTCTGGATTTTACATCCATAGTAGAATTGTCCCTAAGTGCTCTATTCTGCACATACATGATGCATTGCAGGAACTGGCTGTGATATTAATATTCCACAACTATGCGACATTGTGACCTTATTGGAAATCTTACCAGTTTTGGTAAGAAATGGAGGAAGGTTAGTGTGCACAGTCTCCTTCTTTGCTTCATGGATAACCTGTGAGTAACTTACTCAAATGAGAATTTAGAAGTGCTTCTCATTAATGCCAGATTATTCTGAAGTTAGGAACTCTTGGATCTCTGAGAGGAATTTATGTTTTCATTTGGTTCCAGTGCCATTTGATATTTTCTAAAACCACTCCTTGTACAGGATTTTAATTTGCATTTTCTCCCTTCCTTATTCCCTAATGACATATTTAACAAGAATGATGTAAAACATAGGCATCTGGAAATTCATTCCCTGAAGTGTCTCTTCCCTCCCCATTGAGAAACAGGGGCCAGACAAGATAAAGAACTTAATCTCCAATTTGTCTTCCATTATGCAAACAAAAGTGGGATATTATTTCAATTAAAATCATTATTAGGATAATGCCATTTTGGGGCTAGAACAAATACAAGCAATTTAATATTCACACCTTTGTTTCTAATACCACTCTAATAAAAAGGTCATGGAAGAAATGTTTATTTCCTAGTGGTAAAAAAAGAAGTAAGTGACAAAATTCACATGCACAATCATGGGTTTATTCACTTGGGATATGGGTGAATTGAGAGACTATATAAGGCCTAAATCTATAAGAAGTTTGAGCATCTAAATAAACAGCATTGCAGCAAATGTACATATATAGTATAATTTCATACTCCACAAATACACACAGGAATGTCAATATGTCAGTGTGTGTGTATACCAGAGATCATACAGTCACCAATAATACAATAAAAATGAATTACCAGCGGGAAATAAAAGAAAAAATACTCTGTGAATAAATTTCATAATTTTACTTATGTATGTACTCTCAAAGACTTATAATTTAACTCCTTTTATTTTTACTATGATGTGACATAGTGTTATACAGGAGGCCCTGTTAACCACACAAAGGAAATACAATCAAGATACGAATGATTCCAGCAAATGTGTTGATATGGTGCTAACATGTGCCCATTGACATGACTGGATGAAAATGATACTTCACTTCTTTGAATGTTTTCACTCACACAGATTTATTCTCATACTTGGAGTAAAATACCAAAGAAAGTACACTCAAAGACTTAAGCTAAGTCTATAGCTGCCAAGGTCATCAAAACCCAGAGAATATAAAGCAACTATCATTGTCAAGATATGTGAAAGAAAATGTATGAGTATATCAGTGTTTTCCTGTATGGAGCTGAGGGCTGTGAAGAAAAATAAAATGAATTATAAATATCAGGGTAAAGCACAAATCATATTTAGTAATCATTTTGAAAAATGTCTCATACTAATTTGAAATGACAAGTTGAGAAATTAAGTGTGAGTATATAGAA